ACAAATGCCTGTTCTCCAGGATAAAAAACTTTAGTAGAACCATATCTTACCTTCTTACCTGGGAGAAGGGTATTTCTTCAACAACGGTCTCTTATAGTCTTGCTGTGTCACCTAAGCGGGTGACTATAGGGACAGTCCCACTAAAAGACTGAGATTTAATCACAAGAATATAGATTGTTTCCCTTCCCTCATTAACCTTACAACAGGACTTCAGTATCATAATAGTGTATTACAGCTGAAACAGCTGTAAGACATGAACTTCCTCTAAGGAAGAGTACTTAAGGATGCCTTAAGTCAATGGGAGAGAAAACAATTTGTAGCTTCTGACACCTACTACCAGAGAAAATATTAAACATAGTGCAACTACTAGCCAGATTAACATAAATTCCAGACTCAAGTTTCTTTACCTCATTTCCTATTACTTGATCTATCATGTCTGGCTTTCAACAAAAAATTAAAAGCCTTGCTAAAAGGCAAGCAAAAACAGTCTGAAGAGCAAAAATAAGCAACAGAACCAGACTCATATACACACAGATGTGAGAATTATCAGGCAGGAAATTTAAAATAGCTATGATTAATACTTTAAGGGCACTAAGAAAGAAATTAGACAACATGCAAGAACAAATGGTAATATGAAAAGAGAGATAGAAATCCTATAAAAGAATCAAAATGACGTCTTAGAAATTTAAAACACTTAAGAATGCCTTGATGGACTCATCAGTAGGACAGACACAGCCAAGAAAAGAATATGTAAATTTGGATATAGATCGATAGAAACTTCCCAAACTGAAATACAAAGAGCAAAAATGGAAAAGAGAAACAAAATATAGCATTGAAAACTTTGGGATGACTTACAAAGGTGCAGCATACAGATAATTGGAATACCAGAAGGAATAACAGAATGAAGTAAAAGTCATATCTGAAGTAATAATGTCTGAGAATTTCCCAACAATAATGATAGACAATAGACGTGAAACTACAGATCTAGGAAGGTCAAAACACACCAGACAAGATAAATGCAAACACACACACACACACACACACACACACACACACACACACACCACACACATACAAGTATACCTAGGTATACATATTCAGTGACAGAAAACCAGACAAAAAGAAAAATATTAAAAGGGTCAAGAGGAAAAAAATCAATTATAGAGGAACAAAAATAAGAATTACAGTGCAGGTCTTGTCAGAAACCAACCAATCTAACAATGGAGCATGAAAATATATGAGGCTAAAACTGAAAAACCGAAAGAAAAAATAAACAAATCCAGTATTATAGTTGGAGACTTCAACACTCATCTGTGATTTAGGGATATTATTACCTAAAACAAATCTAAAGTAGATAGTCCCTTATTAGTCCACTACGAGCAGGTCACAGGAACTACATGTGAGACACCTGGCCTTATCCATGATTATAAAATTATTCTTGAAAATATAGTCTTCACTACATTGCTACAACCTTTGCCAAGTTATGAAAGACACCTACATTACATTGACTGAGACATTTTTCTCAGGTTACTTGCCTTTAAAATACATAACATAATATACAGAGCATAATGAATCTGTCAAAGGTCAATGTTCAAAAGATTATTTCCACTTATAAAATTTTCAGGAATTCTTAAAGCAATAGCAAGTGCAATTAACATACTGTCTCCTGACAGTTAACTATGCCGAAATTTGCTTATAGCTGGTAAGGCAGGTTTCTTAAGTATTTAAATATCTTCTAATCTCAAGGAACACTGGAATATTCACTCCTCTTACAGGTGACTCTATCATGAACAATAAATCAAGATATTTTAAAATTTTGTATCAGTTTTGTGAGTTGTATTTTTTCAAGGAATTTGCCCATGTTATCTAAATGTCAACTTTATTGGCATAAACTTGTACATAATACACTCTTACTATTCTTTTAATTAATGTAGTATTCCGTTTGTTGAGTTATAAATGTTAAGGAAAAATGAGTCAGTCCATCTGTAAGGGCTAATATTTTTCTTGTCTGATAAACAGAATGAGCTGATTTGGAGAGAGAAATTTAATAACTTAAACTTAAATATTTATTCATTTAAATAAAAATAGTGAACCGAAATGGATAACGAATTAATTAATTTGAATGCTGGGAAAATATAAAAAAGACAATTGCTCTAAGAAGCAATTGTGATAATATTAATAACAGATAAATTAAAATTAATAGCATATATCAACAAATATTGATTAAAAGTGCCATCTGACAAGAATATATATAACAGTCTTGGATATCGACATACCTTGAGGAAAGAGTAAAGATAGGGAACATATAAAATGAAGTCACTTTAACAAAGCTGCTAAAATTATTAACATTATAAAAGTTAATATATGAGGAAAGATCTATTCTTGTTTCAACTAGCTTGAGAACTTAAACTTTTTGAGCTTTCTAGTTCTGTGTCAATGCATGGATGTACATCCGAAAATATACCAGACCTCCAGAGAACCCTCTGATTACCCCCCTGCACAACTCATGTGTCCAGACTACCTGACATACCTGATATTTATAATCCACTGGACATGATCAGACATCCTGGCGTCCATCCTTTAGAACACCTGGCATCCATCATGCAGATTGCCTGACATCTGACTGATAATCATCCTGGAGCAATCCTAGGGTAAGAATGTTGTACTGATTACTCTCAAGAATACTCATTTTACTATAAGAACTTAATCTTTTTCTTCTTCAGAACACTTTTGGGTCTTTTCCTAGCTGTGGTCCAAGTTTGCAAACTCTAAGATGTTTGAATAATCATTTATTTCTAGCCAAAGCCTCCAGACTCTTTTTGAGTTCATTAGACAACCTAATTGATTGTGTTTTTCTTTATATATTTTGAAATTATATATTGCAAGAAAAAGTAAATAAATAAAATATGTAACTCTATAGAGAATTTGAATGACACAGTTAACCATCTTAAACTAATAAAACAATGTACTCCTCAAAATAGAAAGTGATATTCTTTTCAAATACCTATGTGTTTTTCCTAGAAATTGCTCAGAAATTGTTATGTCACAGAGAAAATTTTAATAAATTCTAAATGGCAGAATATATGCTATATTATTA